TTCTGCCTGGAGTGTGAGACTTTTAAACGATCGCTACTAAAACTCCACTCCGGCACCCGATCCAGCGGGGACAGACGTTTTTGGGATGGGTAGTACTCTCCGCCCCCGTCTACGAGAGAGGTGAGGAGGGTGCCGTTTGACTCGTGAGATCCTAGAAATATTTTACCAGTTGTCATTATGGAGCCTTGGACGGTGGAGCACCGCGTTTTCGCCTATGGTTGTTTCGTCCGAAATAAAGAGTCAGTCATCGTTGTACAGCGTGAGTTTCGTCGCCACTTCAACATTCATTCTCTCGAAACACCATCCTTCGTTGGGTTCAATCACTTCGCAGGCGTGGTGAACTGATCAACAGAAGACCAAGAGGAGCGCCGCGAACAGTTCGAACTCCTGAAAATGTTGAACGCGTTCGACAGGTCTTTATTCGCAGTCCGACTCGATCTGCCCGGAAACATGCTGCTGCACTTCGCCTTAGTGATCGTTCGGTAAGGCGAATTTTGCATATGGATCTCCGCTTTCACCCCTACAAATTAGCCATTGTGCAACAGTTACAGTCCGGAGATTATGCACAACTAATGAACTTCGCACGTGAGATGGAAGCACTGATCGATCAAAATGAGAACCTCATTTTGTTTATGAGTGACGAAGCCCACTTTCACCTAAACAGCATAGTTAACCAGCAGAATTGTCGTTATTGGGCTAATGAAAATCCGCAATAGTTATACGAAAAACCGCTGCACTGCCCAAAAGTAACGGTTTGGTGCGCTGTATCGCAAATTTGCATCATTGGCCCTTACTTCTTCGAAGACGGTAATGGTCGTGATGTTACCGTGAACTCAGAGCGCTACGTCGACATGATCACCAACTTCTTTCTCCCTGAATTACGACGGCGACGTATTCCAATCCGACGTGTGTGGCTCCAGCAGGATGGGGCGACCGCCCACACAGCCCGAGCATCCATGGACGTTATTCGCCCTCTCTTCTCTGGTCGCCTTATTTCCAGGTTTGGCGATTTTCATTGGCCTCCTCGGTCCCCAGATTTATCCATATGCGATTTTTTCTTATGGGGACACCTCAAGGCTAGAGTATACGCGACAAGCCCCGAACTCTGGACCAATTGAAGGGCGAAATTCGTGTGGAAGTCGCCCAAGTTGAGAGAGCGATGTTGGAGAGAGTCTGCGCGAACTTCCAAGAACGCCTCCAGCACTGCATCAACGATTTCGGCCACCACATGCCTGATGTAATTTTCCACACTTAACTGTCTCAAATGCTATTTCCTTGTGAACCTGATTCCATCAATAAATTTGTTTTCGAGTAAACATTAACTACTTTATGATTTTTTAAAACCGTCCATCCTCTCTGCTGCACCCTGTATTAATTAGACAAGGTAGATAGGAGATGAGGCTCCAGAACTATTAGTGTGACGACATTTTTCAAATAAAACGCGTTAAGACTCCTTCAGTACTAAAATATGAAGCTTGTACAACAAATTGTACCATGGCATTATAAGTAATGGATATGTGATATATATGGATATGGATATGCATGTGCAAAACTTTAGTTAAGACCTCTTAGATATAAGAAAACGGGAAAAACTCTTTTATTGCCGTTGTCAGCTAGACACTCTACCAAAATTTTATGTCCGAAGTATAAGACCCTATAAGAATAGTTATACTACTTTCATAAAATCTGTCTGGCTGGTATAATCACATTCTTCAATAAACCCCTTGGAAGCAAAATCACGCAGGCGGCCCACTTGAAAGCGCTTTGATACTATCAACTTTTCTTCTGAAAGCCCCAGATTACTGCCTACATTTAAAACCAAATTTGTCGTACCCTCCGCAACATTGATTTCGCAGCAACGAGAGGCGAAGCAAAGCGGAGAAGGGGCCTAATCCCTCCTTCCGAATGGGTTATAAATGGGGTGAACTTATCTGTCAGAAAATTGGATCTGCTCGACGGATTATCGGAGAATAAGAGATGGATAGCTGGCGTAGCAAGACCTCAAATCTGTTAAGGCTGAAGCGCGCTGCCTTCGGATCTTATAATGAAGTCGTTATTGATTTTCTTGTAATCTCTAACGCAAATGGATATTTTCATTATTCTTGGTGCACTCGACGGCGAGGCCTTTCAACGGTTCCGCCACAATTTTTGCGCTCCGGTTAATCCTCCCTGTCTGCACCGCTCCGGTATATTTTCCTTCTCCTGGAATAACACCGCCTTTCTTTCCGGGTCTTACTCAAAGAGCGTCTTGGAATTTTTTATCAGGCGCCTGCTACCGAGAACGGATGTTTTCTTATTATAATTATGGTTGGAGCGGGTTTGAATATCCGGATTTGTGTGCAGAATACAACCAGAGACGTACAGGTGAGGTGTTTTTGAAAGAATTTGATCCCTAATACAATTAGGATGACGTGTTACTATTGAGCAATGCCAGAACGCGTCCCTTCACTTAGCATAGTCTTTGAAATTAGATTTTGCAAGACTGTCACGTGAAGCTCAACAGCATCAGCCATTTTACAATAAGTGGATTAGGCTTCATATAATGAAAATGTGTATACGAGAGGGAATATGACATGACCAGACTGTTGCTGATATTACTATGCTGCCCATACTTAAATCAAATCCAAGCGAACAACCAAAGTTTCTGTGTTATCTACTGCGGTTATAGGTGTAGTATGGTTGAAGATGACACACGGGTTGATGACGTCAGTTACTCGAATCGCTTGAACGCGTTGGTTTCAACCACGGTTTTTTGCAGGTTGTTTCTTTTAGAAAAGCGAGCATATAATTTCTGATTATTTTTAATTTTTAATTAAACTTAATGCGTCTACAACAGTAATATGGAAAGTTTAAAAAATAAAACATTCATACTATTGATGGGAGAAATGTTTTTTCCTCAGAAGATATTGTTCATGTGTTTAATCACTTGAGAAAATCGCTCTTATGTTCAAACAAGTTTGCCGTGAATATTAAGGATATGACGCCCAAAATTTTAATAGTGGGTCCACGAATTTATAGCTATGAGAACTTCTAGTTCTCTAAACTTTTCCGTATGTCAAAGAAAACATTTATTGACTTAGCAGAAATGATAGGAAAAAGCGATGAAAAAAAGATATTAGCAAAGCCATATACAGGTGGTCACTATCCAGTGAGTTTATATGACCATATTTTAATATTCTTGTGGTATATGGGTACACAGGATACTTTGTTAAGTATAGGAACAAGATTTAAAGTGTCCCCAACAACAGTAATGAGTATAACAAATAAGGTGCTCTACTTCATGCTAAAACTGAAATCAGCCTGTATCAAGTTTCCCAAAAATGACGCTGAAATGAGAGCCATTAGTGAAGGTTTCAAGAAGTATCCAGGTAATTAAACATTTCTGAATGCTGCAAACCTAGGGTGATACTGCCCCCTGCATTTCACACAATTATTTTCCTTTTGTTACTTTGTATTTCCTCAGATTTTCTCAGTATATTTCCCAAGAAACCGGTCAATATTTCGTTGGTAGTTCCCCCTCATGTAAGGCCTAGTCTTAGAGACAAATAGGTATTTAGTACGATTACTGTATATATATATATATATATATATATATATATATATATATATATATATATATATATATATATATATATATATTATATTCAAACTTTTTTGGTTGGTCCTAATTGATGCCATCACATTTGTATTTAGTTAATAAGTTACATCTGTTTCCACTTTTTAGTTTATTATTATTTTTAGGCGTTATTGGAGCAGTAGATGGTACCCACGTATTTGTAAAGGTTGAAAAAAGTCACCAAGATAGCTACATAGACCGCTATAGACGAACATCTATAAATCTCATGCCAATATTTGATTCTAACAGTTTATTCACCTACGTGTTTTAGGTTACCCTATAAATAAGAAAACGTGAATATTTATTACATCCTTACTATATTGCAAGTAAAACTTCAAAGTAGTATTTGAGAGGAATTGAAAAAGCTTTGTACCAGTTAAATTTTGGTATACAACACATTGTAGGAGAACAGTAATATTTTTTTTATATTTTTATGCTTTAATTTAAATTCAGGATTTTGAAAATAAATTATGTGCAAAAACATTGAGAGACGTGGGCCAAACTTCTACTTTGTGGATGCTCAGAAATATCAACTAATTGGTGATAGTGCATTTGCATTAAAAACTTGGCTTATTACTCCTTACCGAGGCGACAATTAGACCAAAAAGCAAAAATTTCACAATTACTGCCTTAGTTCCGACAGAGTAAGAATTGAACATTGTTTTGGGGCATATAAGAGTAGGTGGAGAAGGGTGCAATATATAAATACCTACAATATTTGCAAAACAGTGGAGATTGCAACAGCTGCATGTGTTTTACACAATTTTTGCATTTTGCATAAAGACACCTGGAATAAAGATTTTTTTGGAATTGACCTGGATACAAATATAAATCAGGCTGAACTAGAAAATAGGGGTAAAACGGAAAAGAAATACAATTGCAGACACTTTATTCTTACGCAGATGTAACGTAGAATAATATTAGTGTACTATTTTTAAATTTAATTTGAATAAATAACACAATTACTATTTTTCATTTTAATTTATTTATCCCTACTTTCAGTTTAACCTAATTATTCTACACACAAGGTTAGTTAGTTATCTACACATTGGCAATGTCTTCCTTGAATAAAACTAAAATATTAGAACAAGCAAGTATTTATTACACAATTTAAAAATCTCAAATAAAAAAAAAAGAAATAAATATTAATCAGTAATAATCCTAGCCAGTGTCAGAATCGTTTGTGTCACTCCTTGTTATTTTTTTCTTTGTCCCAAAAGCTGCCTCAAAAATTTCTAAGAACCTGTCCTTTCGTTGTTCTCTTTTCTTCAAATGTTCTTTCAAAAAGTAAACTCTTCACTTCTTATTTTTATATCCTTTTACATTTCTCTTATCAAGTCATCTTGCCGAGAAGGTGTTACCTTTTGAGTTTTTTCTAAATCGGCTAACTGGGGTTGATGTTGAGACCCTCTAAATCTGTATGATCTGGTTGTTGCTCTTCTATTTCATTTTTCGCAGTTCCTGATGTAGTTTCATCAATATCCATTGAATCCCCTAGATTTAATGGGGTTACCTTATGCTTGCATCCTAAAAATTATTTTGGTAAGTACTTCCACCTGTTTTCACTAAGGAATCTAGAGGTACACATTTTTGTTTTTTGTTGGTTCATACCAGAATTTTTATAATTACAAACATGAAAAAAGAAAAAATAAAATATAGCCATGACATACAATAACAATACTACATGCTTGCTTAAGATAGTAATGTGAAAGTAAAAGAAGATATTATACTAACCTAGAATGGAGTGGAGCTCTTCAAAAAATGAAGGAATTTCATCATTTCTCTCACTTTCTGTTGTAATTTGATGTTTAATGTAAGATAAATAGGTTTAATCGCAAATTCGCAAACTTTTGACGACACCGCTCTTTGTCTTTGTCGTCAAAGTAATTACTTTTTTTATCTCTTAAGAACAACATCAAATGAGTTCTTTCATTATCCATTTCAGAAGGCTTCTTTTTTGTCCAAATCATATCATTAATAGATGTTGGTTGAGTGGTCGAGTCATTTTCTTTGTGGGGGGGGGGGGGGGGCGCGTAGATTGAAAATCATCCTGAGGTTGATTTTCGGAGTCATTGTGCTCATGCTGAGACCCCAATGGACACATGGATAAAATATATTACCCTGCAGAAGCAGCATCTAAAATTTCATGCCAAAGCTATTAAAATATGCCATTCTCATACTTGATAAACCTTAAAGTGAAGTATAAGAGGTATCCAGTTCTGATACATAGTTTATTAGTGAATATGTGCACACCATGTAGAAAAAGTCACATTATACGTAGGTATCTGGAATCAATAGGGTCAGTTTCACCTTGCACCTTTTCAATATTCAAATAGCCCAGAAATATCAGGCTTCTTCTACAAGATATACAATATACTATTCTTTGTTTATCATACTATATAGTTACCATTCAAAAGTAAATTGACCGTTTCCAGGTCTTTAACGCAGACCTCGTAGTCTACGCCTTCATAGTTTAAAGTTAGATGAAATTGATCCATATTATTTTCAATTTAATAACGAACTGCAAAACTGCTCTTTTAAACGCGCATATAACCTCACAAGTACGACGAAAATATTCAATACCCGCCAAAACTCTAACTTGTCACATTTCAAATAATAACCAAAAATATAAAACTTATCCCGAGTTGGGTAAATACCACAATTTTACGGTGATAACTATGACATATAGCAGCTGATTGGTGACGTCACGGATCTTATAACCAAACTGATAACCATGCTCGCTTGAACGGATCGGTAAATACCAATTAAGAATGGTGATTACCGTTTTCATTTGGTTATTCGCTTGAATTTGATTTTACTGTAATGAAGAAAAAAATTACTGTGGCATTTCCGTGACAGACCCAAAATTATTTTACCCCATAATGTCGGTGACGTAGCTCCTGGATTCTTTTTTCTCTATGACAGCGTACGGTCTAGGCTGTAGACGTGTTTATATTGTGAATCTCATTCAATGCCTGAATAGCTCCTTGTGTCAACTTATTTTACAACGAGAGTTAAAGAGGAAAGGGTTATTATATAGGATGACCCAAAGAAAAGGTCGCGCCCCCATTTGTGGGTATATTTTGGGAGAAATGCTGGGACACGTCGATTTTGTTTTCTGACGTCATTTAGTCTAGAACCGTACAATACAGGGGGTTCCAAAAACAAGATATTAAGTTACACATTACATTTTTAAATGGAAACCCACGGCAAAAAATAATAATCATGGATACCAGCAAGAATATAAATGGAATCAGTGTGATCGTATGACATAGAAAAGCTTTATCTTTCAGTTCAAATTGTTAAGTCACCTACCTTGTTGTGATAAATATTCCTTCAATATGGTTTCCGAAAATACTGGCCCACACCTCTCGAAACAAATGTGGATTTGAGTCACTCCAATATCGAGAATTACGTTTATTTACAGCTCCATGTAAATATAACGTACACTCATCCAAGAAACAGATATTAAATAACAGATTTGCATTGTTGATTAAACGTTGGGACATTAATTCGCAAGATTCCAACCTTCTATCAAAATAGTCTTCATTAACCTCATAGACAAGTCTTGTACGGGTGATATTTATTGTTTCGAAATTTTATGAACTGTTGAGCGTGCAAATCCTGAAGAAGTAACCAGACCACGAGTGCTTTAGATGCTGCGGCTTTCTTTCTGACTGGTCAATTCTCTCGATGGCGATTTCGGCGAATATTAGACACAGATCCGGTTTCTTCAAATTTTCTTATCAACTTAGCCACACACTTATCGTTAACATTTTTGTCTGTGTGTAACCCATTAAGCAACCGGGCAACACCTTTTGTAATGCTCCCATTTGGGTATTACCGTTTTGTTATTTCTACCGAACGAGTCACTGTTCAATATTTATCACAACTAAGTACGTAACTTAACAATTTGAAATAAAAGACAAAGTTTTTCTATGACATACGATGACAGTGACTGATGATAAATGTTCCTGCTGGTATCCACGATTATTATTCTTTACCGTACATTCCATTATTGTCATTATAAATTAGTCGAATTTTATTATAAACTTAAATAGCTTCACAACGATTGAAGATAGGTATAAACTCTAATACAAGAGTTACTAAAAACTTCATGGAAAATCTAAGAATAAAAAAAAATGGGGTTCTATTTAAAAACCTAAAAGCTAATGCAATATCTTATTTTTGGATCACTTTGTATTGTACGGCTATACATGCAAAGACGTCCCCCTAGGAATCAAAATTGACGTGTCAGGGCGTTTTTCCCAAAATTTCCCAGGAGAGTCACAAATGGGGGTGCGACCTGTATGCAAAACTCCATCTAGAATGATGAATCCTCAACGATACAGTTCTCTGATGACAATTTACAATCTTTTATATGAATATCTTCAAGAAATACGCTTCTGCTTATCGTGTAATTTCTGTATAGATATGTGTTTATATCCCCATATCAAGAAATGATCATGACAGGCATCTACGGTTTTATTTCTCTACCAACAACCCGTATAGCAGTAAACCTCATTCGGGGCTTTAAATCTTTCATGTGTTGCCGAGAATATTACTGTTATATCAAATGGCAAAGGAAATGAGAAAGAACTGGATATCGTGACCTAGTAAACTTTCCTTATCCGCGCTGCAAGTGCACAGTCGCTACTGTTGTATGGGGTATAGTCGTGGAGCTGTACTGTTTGAGTTGTACCAAATTTTCTCCAGAAAAGAGTTTCAATCTTTTACGAGATTGCTCAACAACTTTTTGCCAGAAATATGGGATCCTAAAAATCGGCATAACTACTAGTTATTGGTCATTGACTATGAGTACAGCTATAGCATGGCTTGATGCGTTTTGCTATATTGGGTAAAAGCAATAATACTGATAGCATTCGAAAATAATATTTTGACCCCTATGATTTAAGGGTCCCTACAAGTGCTGTCCATCAAAAATTGATGATTCTGTGAGACTTGGATAAACAAGCCCTTAGCGAAGTACGTATAGTGAAGAATATCCACTATATGATGGGATGTGTATTAAAGGCGCGATACGGTTTGTAAAGAGTTCAATTTAAGTTAAGGCAACATCGGAGGTGGAAGGCTTAGCGACAAGATGCAAGCTGGATGCAAATATAATATACCAGCAAACAAATGCGCAAGAAGGCTAGACTCTTCGATTCACTCCATGCATCTTTTCCAGTATTACAACGTGTTTCTGCTATTTCTGGATGTACCCGAGGACAAATATTTGATGGACTACGATCAGAAATCTGAGATACAAATTAGAAGCGACCCTCATTCGTCGGTGTAATGGATGAAAAGTATTTCTGTGAGACTCAGGGCCGTATCGTCAGTCGTTTCTACAATTGTAGGACGGCTGTATGGCCACTTCGATTGTCATAGTCTTTTCTCTCCTTCAAAAGTTTCTAGATCCCACCTGTTCCGTGTCAGCGTCAGTGCTCTTCTACTGTAAAGTTATGTTTTCTTTTTGAACTTGATATGTTAAAATCAATAGCGAGTGGGTTAGCTAAAAGCTTATTTTCAAGACTATGGTTAATAAATGATTAAAACATGGATTTTTATCAAGCACTGGACTAATGAATTTAATGATGAACTCAATACCAACCGAAAGTATAAAATCAATTGGGTATTTAAATATTGGGTTGTCTTTCTTTCTTCCTGGCCAAGCTTCTGTATCACCCATACAAAATTCAAATGGTACATCAGCTAACTGAGTATGACCCTGATCGAAGAACAGAGTTCTGCGAGACTATGACGGAAACCATTGCACGGATATCCTACCTATATCCAAAACATTTGTTTTAGCGATGAATGTACATTTTTTCTCAACGGTAATGTGGTTAGAAAAAATTGTCGTTATTGGAGTGACACCAATTCTCACGTCTTCCGGGAAACTCAAATCGATGACCACAAAAAATTAACGTTTGGGCTGGGATGTTGGGAAACCATATTGTGGGGCCTCTAGTCATCGAACAAGTTTTAACCGGGGAACTGTATTTGGATATGCTGGCAAATACTATTGATCCTCTAATCACCGAAATCGTCGAAGCGAATCCTAATGAATTCGATACTGATATTGTATTCTGGCAAGATGGTGCTCCACCACACTACTACAGGCAAGTCAGGAATTATCTAGATAACAATTTCCCCGGTCGTTGGATTGGCCGTCGAGGTCCTGTGGAGTGGCCAGCTCACTCGCGAGATTTGACAGCTTTAGACTTTTTTAAGGGGCTATTTGAAGCAAAAGGTGTACGAAACTGAACCTGCTTCAATATTGGTTATATATATAATATTTGTAGAAATATCGATGTTACTATGTTTGAAAATGTTCGACGCGAAATTACAGGCCGGCTGTTATTGTGCCAAAAAGTTCAAGACAACCATTTCCAGCATCTTTTAAACTGAACTCAACGTATTTATTCGAATTATCAAATGTCACTGTATTCAGGTAATTATTAAATGTACCACCATTTTGTAGTAGGTAAAGGTATTGACTTTATATTCTAGGGTTATAAAGTTCTCGCTGGGACCTTCAAAATGATGTGCCACAAGACCCTTGTTTTCATATAATTTTTTTCCAAGATGGCGCCCAGCGGCCATCTTGACATTTTCTTCTGCCAATTTTATTCTAAAATATGGTATGCACGCATCAATTTCATTGCCTCAAGTTTTAATTTTTTGAATTGATCCGTCCAAAGAATCAAAGGGGAGAGGGACGTTAAAGAAAAGTACTGTATAGTGCAGTAAGTCACAGTTTGATGTTCTGTCTTGTGTTGTCAAATAGAGGGTACATATTGCAAATATTGTTCATTGCTGAATTGCAAGAATCTGCCGAATTCGGGGATCAAAATTAGAATCTTGACGAATCAGATGCGGAGTAATTGTGAGATTGAATTTGAAACACCTCAAGCCTCAAGCTTGCTGCCAGTTGCTTCAAAATGCTGCTCAGTATTGACTAGTGTTATCACATGGATAGCTCGGACCTTTCCGTTGCAGGTTTCCATTCGCATCAAAATTCCACTTCTAAGAACCCGTCAACCATCATTTCAGCCAGGTGTTCTGCAGACAACGCTGTATTATCGTGTTCGCAATTAAAAAGGCTTATTTTGATATCAGATTCATTTATCAAACAAATGGATGAAGATATAGTCTCAACATACCTGCTTATAACAACCCAGTAGTAGCGCCACGGAAAGAATAACTCAAGGATAAGTTTGCATATTCTATAGGCTTCATACTTTCGGTTGGTATCAAATTTATTTGTTAAACTATCAGTCCAATCTGTAATAACAAGTCATTTTTCAATTTTTAATTAATCATCATAGTGTAGCCAACAAACTCGCGATATATATTTTTAAAATACTAAATTTGATATAATATCTTTTCAAATTTGGATCTTCTATTATTAAAGATAGTTGGTCATTGTGGTCACAGATGCTCCCAAATGCGATCCACTGTACGATTCTCCTAACGACATGCACACAAGTGCAGAAAGTCCGAAAAGTCCAATGCTGAAATTTCCA